TATAGAGTAATGATGTTATAGGACCCTCTCCCACCAATGTGTGTAGGACCTCAAAGGATCACCATTAAATTTAACACGAATCTCTAAAAAAGTTATCACATGAGTGTGTGATTGGATTTTTTTAGAAATTTGTTCCAAATTTAATGATAATCTTTTAGGGTCCTACCTACACACATGGGTGTGGGAGGGTCATTACTCCCCCCTCTCTCTCTCTCTCTCTCTCTCTGTATATATATAAATTGAATAGTGTTTTGAGGTGAGCTTTTAATTTTTTCATAATACTTGGCCTTGTTTTGAGGTGAGCTTTTAATTTTTTCATAATACTTGGCCTTATAGAGATCACATACCTTTAAAAAAAGTAATTATCGCAAATATACCTATCGTTTAGCTTAATTGAAAAAAAACCTCAACTTTCAAAACCTCATCTACACCCTCTTTTTTCATTTTTGGGTTTTTTTTTATAAAAATATCCTTTACGGTAGTCGTTTTACCGTAATTCATATTAAGTTTTACGGTAATTAAAATACCGTAATATCTTGAAGTAGTGTTACAGTAATTAAAATACCGTAATAACTTGAAGTAGTTAAGTATGGTAATCGATAATATTTTCTTTACGATATTTTTTTTACCATAATGTTTCCATTTTATACAGTACTTTAACTACCGTAATGTTTAATTCATTTTATACGGCACTTTTAATCTCACTTACTCTTTTTCCTTTAACTTGCCCCCTACATCTCTCTCAATCCTCCCAACAAGCCATCTCTATCCTTTTCAACTCTTATGCCCGTCTTTATCTCTATTTCATCTCTATCTGCCTTAAACTTTCTCTTTTTCTCTTTGCCCTACTTTTTTATTAAATCTCTCTCTCACACGTAAAACCCCTATCTCTCTCTCACACGTAAAACCCCTATCTCTCTCAAGTTTTATCTCTCTCCTCCCCCTCACACGTAAAACCCCTATCTCTCTCAAGTTTTATCTCTCTCTCATCCCCCTCGTTGGTCCAGAAGGAAGCCATATACGGTAGAAAGAATGCCAAAGCCATACATGGTGCCTAATTACGGTATAAAGAATGCCGTAAAGAAAGAGAGAGAGATGAGACTTGGAAGAGAGGGGTTTTACGTGTGTGAGATATTTGTGAGAGAAAAGTGGCGTGGAGAGAAAGAAAGAAAGAAGGTTTAGGGTGGATGTAGATGAAATAGAGATAAGGACGGGAGGGAGAGTTGAAAGGCGTAGAGATGGTTTGTTGGGGGGATTGAGAGAGATAGAGGGGAAAGTTGAAAGAAAGAGGGGTACATGGGATTAAAAGTGCCGAATAAAATGAGTTAAACATTACGGTAGTTAAAGTATCGTATAAAATGGAAACATTATGGTAGAAAGAATGCCGTAAAGAAAATGTTATATATTACGGTTCTTAAAGTACTTTAATAGTGCTTCAAGTTATTTCAGTATTTTAATTACCATATTACTACTTCAAGTTATTACGGAATTTTAATTATTTTAAAATTTAATATAAATTACGATAAAACGACTTATGTGAAGGTCATTTTCGTTTAATATAAATTACGGTAAAATGACTTTCGTGAAGTTCATTTTCGTCTAAGAAAACTCGAAAATGAAAAAAAAGGGTGTAGGTGTGGTTTTTGAAAGATGGGTTTTTTTTTTTTCAATTAAGTTAAAATATAGGTATATTTGCGATAATTATCCATTAAAAAAAGTACTTATCAAAGAAAGCTTGTATAAGGTGTGACCTCAAAAAATTAAAGTAAGGTGCACTTTTAAATCTTGCGAAACGACACATTTTTTTGTGTAGAAAACCCTTATATTGACTTGAATATATTTCTACCCTTAATTATGAATTTTAAAGCTCTAAAGATGATGTAGATCAAGCAGATTTTTAAATGCTTATTATTATTTTTAAAAGAGACCGTTAAGACAATGTGTCACAATATGTGTTATTTTTAGGGAAAAATTTATATAGAGCGGAGGCTCTAAACAATCAAATTTGAGTCTCTCTCAAAAATTTCAGAGGTTGTCTTGATGCCCAAATATCTTTAAATTGATCATCTCGACATCAAGATGCATGGACATGAGAAAAAAATGGATTTCAAGTTTGAAAATAATATATGTTATTATTCATTTTTATAAATCTGTCGATGAGGCTCTAGTTTGATGGTTTAGAGCCTTACAAACTGGACCCTTAGTTTTAGGACAAGAAATCATTTATATCCACCAACATATTTGAAGGTGAGATGATGAATTGGAAAGAGAGAGAATGGAGATGATTAATGAGAGAGAGAGTGTCCAGATGATCAATTGGAAGAGAGAGAAAGAGAGGAAGGAGTTAGTGCTAACTGTATTGTGTGTTTTGGGATTATAGGTTTGGGCAGCATTGTTGATATACCGTCAGATTCTGGATGAGATTCAGGCCAACGACTACGATGTGTTTTCAAAGAGAGCCTATGTCAACAAGGCCAAGAAGCTGCTCTCTTTGCCCGTTTCTTACACTAGATCCATTCTTAAAACCTCCGCCTTGGCCCCTATAAAATACAAACAAATCCGATTGTAAATCTTTCACCGGGCTCTTCATGAAAAAAAAAAGATACATTATTTTATGTTTATCAACGATTAGGTTATTCAATGCCTAAGCGTTCTCCTTGTAATGTTCTTGTAGCTTGTAAAATTAATATGTTAATGGAAATGCAATTGATTAAGGGTGTGGTTTTAATAAGGTTGCAACCTTAAACCATAAGGCACCCTCAAATTTTATCATGACATATAATTTTGATGTAAAATATTCTTAAGATTATCTCAAAATCTATTTTCAAATCTAATTATAAAATTTTAAACTCCAAAAATGATAAAAATCAAGTAGATTTATAAATGTGTCAAAATCTTGAAAATGGACGGTTTAGATAATGTGCTATAAGATGCATTATTTTCAGGATTCGAAATCTTTTTTTTTTTTCATAGTCATATATCTATCATCTTGTGTCAAGATGATTCGAGGGTTTTTTAAAATTAAAAGAACTTTTACGAGGGCTTTTCAAAATGAAAAGAACCTTTACCGATGGATTTTTTAAGTCCATATGTAGTTCTACATTTAAAAAGTTCTCCCATTAATTAATATGAAGGTTCCTGTGTATATTGTAAGTTGAATAGATTAATGGAATGTGCAATTAATTAATTAATATGAAGACTTACGCAGCACTAGGAATGGGCTGACACAGCACTAGGAATGGTAAAGGTGATAGCAACACATTAGAAATGGGGTTAGGTCAAGGTGATAGCACCTAAGGTGACTCAACTATCGACTTCAGTTTCAGCTTCCATTCTTACTGAGATAGAAAGTAGGCATTTACTCGCCCAAAAAAAAGGCTCACACCACTCTCCCATGTTCCTCCTTTTCACTCTCTTTTTCCATCCACTTAATATTATTTCTAGGCAGTCAAATGTTATGAATGATTGTTTTTCACGAAAGATAAAATTTAATACTTCTAAAAAGTGATTGAAAAAATGTTGATTTGGATAGGAATCGTCCTTTTGGGTGCTTTGGAAAAGTTTCTCTGTCACGGTATTCAAAAATTGGAAAAGTAACTGATACAGCAGCCGGTTCAACTAGCTTAACTGGCCAGATCTTGGCAAGTCAAAACAATTAAGTGAAAAATTGAATTAAAATTTAGTGAAAAAATGAATTTTAAGAAATCGATTTGTGTTTAAAAGTATTTTTGAAATTTTATAAAAGAATGAGAAAAATGTAAAAATAAGTAGGGCCAAAACGCTTTCCAAACTGCCAAATATGAATTATAAATTATCCTTGTATCTGTTTTTCTGTAAATGTTTGATTGTCTTCGATTGCTGATAACTTTGAAAAGAATCATGACGAGTCCCTTGCAAAGAAAGCCCAGGTTTTTATTTTTTGAAGCCCCTTTAAAGCTTCTGAATTCTTTTTCACTGCATTTAACAATCCAACACTCCTTCAAAATATTGGGCAAAGGCAACCACAATGAATCAATCTTTGCAGTGCTCGCTCTCTCTCTCTCTCTGAAAGCCTCAAAACTTCTGCATCTCTCTCTAAAAGCCTCAAAAGTTATGCTTCTTTCTCTCTATAAAAGCCTCAAAAGATTTGCATCTTTCTCCCTTTTAAAGCTTCAAAAGTTCGGCATCTCAGTCGAGCATACCCACTAGTCCTGAAAAAATTGAAGGCACCTGCTTCTTCCTTTTGGTCCAGGCTTCGGGCGAGCTCGATCCGCATTTGGAGAGATCGGGACCTTCTTTCTCTATGGGAAGGGATTCATCTCCCATTTCAGCCATCATTCTGGTGCCGAAGCTAAAATCTTCACCTCACATAATTATCGCCACTACGTGGTATGGCTGCAAGATGAAAGCGTCAAGGGATAATAGCTAGTGAAACCACATATAACATAGAGAGATGTAAAATGATAAAACAAGTCATAATGGGTAAAGTAAATTCTGAAAATCTACTCATCAAAGCAATGCAGATTATAGAGGGAGAAAGAAGTCCTGTAAAACCATCAAGCAAATTTTAATTGGGGCAACTGCATACTAAAAACTCAAAGAGAGCGAGAGAGAGAGAGGCCACACCTTTCGTCTCCCTGTTGGGTGGTGATCAGGCACCAACATCTTCATCTCCTTTGCGCCATGGTCACTTCCTCTTCCCGGCAAAATCCGGCCCTCCAAACATATGCAACCCGACGCCTTCAGAAACAGGAGAATGTAGGAAGCTCGCTGCTATGCTTCTCTTCCTTGAAACCAGTGCGTCTGCTGGCGACGGTGGAGGTGGCAGCGGTGCCGGTGTCTTGGCTGAGAGGTGAGAGAGAGCCGCATGAAGAAAAGGCAGGGGTGAGGGAGAGAGCGTATTACAGAAAGGGCCAGGTGGGAGAGAGAGCATTATATGCCTGGAACAATGTCCATCAAATTTTTAGGGATTATAGTTTTTGTTATTATTGTTCTATCGAATTTTTTTTTGTTATTATCACGGTGTTCATGTCAAAACTGAAATTTTAAAAAGTATTTTCGGTTGATGAATAATAAAAAATTTTAAATTTTTAAAGAACTAAAACATGTTTTCTCTCTCTTTGTGACGTATTTTCTCTACATTCTCTAAACTCTCTTTGTGACGTATTTTCTCTACATTCTCTGAAGTCATAGTTATCCGATAAAATCAAATGGAAACAACTAGTTTGAGCTCCTAAATTTAGGAAAAATCTTAAGGATTACTAGAATAAAAGATTAGGAAAAATATTGTTGCGTATTCTCTCTACGTCGTTTACGTCATGCTTATCCGATAAAATAAGGGTAACAACTAGTTTGAGCCCCTAAATTTTTAAAAAATCTTAGTGATTATGAACTTACCCAAAAAACGATGAGAGTTTAAAAAAAAAAAAAAACCATTTTACCTATGTAATGTTAAAAGAGAAGTAAAGAGAAAAAAAATTTCGGTTATTGACGAATGGTCATTATTCAAAAACCGAAATTGGCCCGCTTTGACATAAAAAAACGAACACAATGATAACATCAGAAACTATTCGGTAGAACCGTAATAACATGTAATTTTTTCAAAATAGTAATATCCACTAGAATTTTTAGGGATTTAGATATATCTTACTAGGATGTGAGTGAAATTTTAGGGATTTGGATATGTCTTAGTAGGATGTGAGCTTCCCAAACATGTCTATGAACTTTTAAAATTAAAATCATATTAGATTTTATAATATCCTGGAATATTTGATTGCTATCAAACATATCCTTATTCTTAGAGATTTTATATAGTATTTTTAAATACCCTGCCAACCACCGAGATCAATCAAAACCGAATCGACCATAGTTCCGATTTGACCAGCCGGTTCCGAGTTGGACCACAGAGTTTGCAAACCACCGAAATTAGTCGAAATTGAATCGGCCACGGTTCCGATTTGACCAGCCGGTTCCGAGTTGCACCACTGAGTTTGCAAACACTACTCTCTCTCTCTCAAACCAACGAAAATTCCTCTCTCTATGATCACAACTCGCTCAAAGGCATGCATGGCATAAATAGGTAACGCCCCCAAAGATAGAGGCCCCTCAGAAATCTTAGAAAGACACAAATATCACGAATAGTTCTACTAGTTGGGTTACCATTGCATCTCACAAATATAAATAGAGTAGTTGAGTGAATGGAGCTGCCTACGGTTAGAGAGACAAGTTCACACGAGAGAACGAGGTTGTTGAACATGATTTTCTTGTTTGGTAGTCGCTTTCAATTGCCTCCGGATGATTTTTTGTTTTCTCGTGTTTAGAGCGGCGGGAAAACTCGAATTAGAACGGTTAATCGGGCATGAAGTTCGAAGCGATTCAATTGGCCTAACCAGTAAATCGGTCAGTTTGACAAGTAAGTCTTATGCAATAAAAAAAATTGTTAAAAAAAAATTACAAAAATATAAAAAAATCCAATAAAATAGTTTTATTTATTTTAAAAAATCTATTGGTATTTTTACAGATATGAGAGGGTGAGAAACATCGACTCACCATATTTAAGCTCAATCCATTTACTAAAAAGAAGATAAAACCAAAGCACAATATTCGTTATGAAAAAGTGGGACCTAAGTGTAAAATATAAAATATATGATAGTATTTTTAAAATTTGAAAATAAAAAAGATTTTTTGTTAATTAGAACATTATATTATACACATAGGTAAAATTGAATAGCTTATAAATTAGAGGGAAAATATCTTATTAAGGGCAAGTTTGATATGTATGAAAATATTTTTGTGAAAGTATTTTGACATGAAAGAACTCTAATAATTTATTAGATGTGGAAATTTTTTTATATTAATTAACTGTCATTTGATATGAAAAAATGAAATACTCTCATAAAAATATTTTCACGTATACCAATTCCTTAAGTAGATGATTACATTGGTTAGCCTCCCCCATTTTAGGGGCCTTAACTGTTTCACGGCAAACCTCGTAGGTCTATCTTCTGGGCTCTGGTGAAGGAGCACATAGAATTTTTTTTTTTAAAAAAAGAGAAATATAGAGAGAACACTTTTTTTTTAACATGATTAGTTCGGGTTGTATATCTCATGAGTCCCTAAATCTAATTTTCACAAACTGGAAACAAATTTTTTTTTAAATTGCGAGGCAATCTACAAATTTTGGATCATGCAAATCCTCAAGGCTTAGGCGTAACTCTATTTTTTTCTCTTATTAAAAAAATTATTTTCTTGGGATATTTTTTTAAATTGGTGTTCACAATCTTTCTTTAATTTTCTAAGACGATTGTGTATCCTAAATTTAGAAAAATTTTAAGAGACCATTTATCTTTTATAAAAAAAAATCACAATCATTTCTACTCATTAGACGTCAAAGTGGATGGTTTGGAGTAAGCTAGGAAGGCCGAAATTGTTTTTTTTTTTACCTTTATATCTACTTAAAATCACCCATTTTAAATTTTAAAAACAAAAATGATTATAACTTCAATGTACCGAAGATAAATGATCTCTTTGAAATCAATCCCTTCTTATGTTGTGCCACACACATTATATTTGTCCATTATCAACTCACAATCACATTCACTCTTTCAGGAACTAAGAACCAAAATAGGCGCAAAAACAAGCAACAAAAGCCAAATTAAGTTAACCAAGCCGAAAAGATTAACTTTATAAACCTGAAACGTTACCCCCACCAAACCTCCAAATGACAAAAAGAACTAAAAAATAAAAATACGCCTCACTTTCTTGATAGAGTTTTTTTTTTTTAATGTTTTTTAATCAAAGTACACATTGGAGATCCTCTATTTAATATTTTATCTATATCTTCTGATTTAATTTCAAATACCCAACAAATACAGATGATTTAGATATACTTAAAAAATCGTGATCCCCACCTTCTAGAAGGACCGAAATTGTCTTCACAAAAATGCAAGGGTGATGCCGTCATTTTAATTTTATTTATTTATTTATTTTTTCATTCCAAAAAATGGGTCCCTATCTTCGTATCCAAATATTTTCGGAGGCGTTACTGCCGCCTATTTATCCGTGACGTGATCGCGCCGTCTATAAAACCCTAGCCGGGTGGGCCCAAACCTTTCTTCCTCCTATGAAGAGAGCACTTTCCCGGTCAAATTACCGGGCTCATTCTCACTTCACGATGAAAAATCCGGGCGAAATAGTGCCGGACTCGCACACTTTCCGTCGATACGTGGCCCATCTACTCTTCATCTTAGCCATTGTTTTCCCCTGCGTCATACTCTTTCGTATTGTTCATCCGTTAGATGCCCTGCCTCGGCTCGCTGGAAACTCTTCTGAAAATTTCGAGGGCTCACTGGAGAATCAACGGATTGCGGTGATTCAGGAGAGCGATGATTCGACTGCTTTATGGGTATTTTTCTATTTTCTTTTTTTTTTGAGGTTTTTTATTTACTGATAGGTGCTTTAGGGTTTTGGTTTGTGAAATCTTTTGGATTTATAATGTGCTGCATTGTCAGGGTTTTCGATTTATTCATTGGAATTATGTGTTTTTGATGGTGTTTTTTTTTTTTTGGTGAACTTGGGGAATTTCTTATTTTATTTGCCGAGAAAAGTTATGGTAATGATGTGACGTTTTGACTGGGAGAATATTTTGAGGGAATTTAATATTTGGTTTTACAGCTTTTTCTGTAATGTGATTTTATGTTGGTATGGATATTTACTGGTTTGTATTTTGTTTTTTGTCTCAAACATAATTTTTCGTGAGCTGTTCCTCAATTATTATTGCTGAATTTATAAAAGAATTTTACCATTTCTTGGAATTTTTTTAATAAATTATTGATTTCTTGAATTCACTTCTCTAGTGGGTTGAGTTCGAATTCAGAGAAAGAGAAAGAGCTAATAATAAATTATCACTTTCTTCAATTCACTTGTTTAGTGAATTGAGTTTGAATTTGAGAGAGCTAACAATTTATTAGCTTTGCATGCAAAAACAAACTGATTGTGTTGTCTATACTCTATAATATATTGAATGTATACACCCAAAAAATATAGGGTGCGTTTTGTATAGAGCCTAGGCTCTAAACGATCAAATTAGAGCCTACCTTCAAATAGTGTAAGAAGTGTTGTTTCAACACTGGAAATCTTTGTGATAGCCTTAAAATATACTTTCATCGTTACTTATAAAGTTTAAATCTTCAAAAATTGTGTAGATCGACATATCTATGAAAATCTTGAAAATTGACGGTTCAAAAATGCATTACAAAATACACTATTTCCAAAGCTTGAAATCCATTTTTTTCTCATGTCCATGCATCTTGATGTTGAGATGATCAATTTGAGAATATTTGGGCATCAAAACAATCTCTTCTAGTGAAAGTTTCGAGGTAGGCTCTAATGTGAATGTTTAGAGCCTCGTCTCTATATAAACTTTTTCCAAAAATATATAGTTTACTAGACTGATGAAACAGTTCCCCTTGCTGAAGGAGCAAAATTGTAGTTGAATACGCAACAATTTGTGCAAAATCTTAGTTTGAATATGCTATATTTTGCCCACTAAAGTTCTTGTTAACTCAAGGTTAGTTTTATTGAGTTAATTTTATATCCAAAAAAACTTATGACAATTTTTTATGGTTTAGTTTATATTTTGATGAAATTTCTTATAATTTGCATTTTGGAAGTGTTTGGTTTGATTATTTTGTGGGTGGTGACTTGTATGCCCCTTATGCAGGAAACTGAGGATAATAAGTTGGATGCTGTTTTGAAGAAAGCTGCAATGGTGAATAAAACAGTTATATTAACCACTTTGAATGAAGCATGGGCAGCCCCAAATTCAGTTATCGACCTGTTTCTTGAAAGCTTTCGATGGGGTGAACGAATAAGACAACTTTTAGACCATTTAGTGATTGTTTGTTTGGACCAAAAGGCATTTGCTAGATGCTCATCTATACATAACCACTGTTATGCTCTGAGCACTGAAGGTGTTGATTTTTCCGGCGAAAAGTACTTCATGACTCCTGACTATCTGAAAATGATGTGGAGGAGAATAGATTTTCTAAGAACTGTGCTCGAAATGGGTTATAACTTCATTTTTACGGTAATATTCGTTGATAGTTCTTCATTTTTATGCATTTGATTATGAAATAATTAAATAAGTTCTAATAGTTTGTTTGATATTCTTTGCAGGATGCTGATATCATGTGGTTTCGAAATCCTTTTCCTTATTTTTACCAGGACACAGATTTTCAGATAGCATGTGATCACTTTTTGGGCAATCCTAGTGATTTAGCCAACAGACCCAATGGGGGGTTTAATTATGTTGTTTCCAATAATCGAACCATAGAATTTTACAAGTTTTGGTACTCATCAAGACAGAGGTATCCAGGATTCCATGACCAAGATGTGCTTAATGTTATTAAATATGATCCAGCAATCGAAGTAATCGGTCTAAAAATTAGATTCCTAAGTACTGCTTACTTTGGTGGGTTTTGTGAACCAAGCAAGGATTTAAATGTCGTTTGTACGATGCATGCAAATTGTTGCTATGGTCTAGGTAACAAACTTCATGATTTAAGAATTATTCTTGAAGACTGGAGAAAATTTATGGCGTTGCCCATAGAGGAGAAAAGATTACGGCAGTTATCTTGGAGGGCTCCACAAAATTGCAGGTATATAAGGAGTTTGGTAATTTTTCTCTCTCTTTTATAAAATATTATTGAAAGCATTTAGTCTTTTAAAATTTTATTTATTCATATTTAGCCATTGAAACACATCACTAATGATTGGTGAATGTTGCATTGTTTTTCTGATGCATTGAACTTCAGTTATATCCTTGATATGGTTTGAGCATCCAATTGATTCTATGCTTAAGTATTTGAATAAGCACCTTACCTATTTATTGAGGCACATTCATAAAGAAATGAACCGAGGTTGCATGCCATTATAATTTTAATAAGGAAAAGTATTTTGTAAAGTCACATCTTTATCCAGCTGCCCCTCAAATCTTGTAAAATGCAGTCTTGACACCAAAAAAATTGCAAGGCTATCATCCCCACCTCAACATTCATGGGGAAGGATTTCAAGCCCTAAAAATGATCTACCACCCTTTTTGAACTATCTATTTCAAGTGTTCACAGTTTCACTAGATCTGCACCATAGTTCGTTCTTCAAATGCTACAATCAAGAGTGGAAATTGATTTGTAGCTATCACAAGTTTCTCTGCCGAGTCTAGTTTTCCCTGCGGGGCTTTTATCTTTGGCCTTCCCAAATTTTGTAAAGCCACGGCCTTAGCAAAACTTCATCCTATTAGTAATTCGCTTAAAAAATAAAGAAGTCTGAACTGTAACATCATTAGTGGTTAGGTCATACTTTGTCAATGGATGACTCATCTTACGTGTTTTCTTTTTTTTTTGAGAATGGTGGCTGATCTTGCATGTTGAAGTTTCTAATATCCTCTGTTACTATAAATATTCACGGGTAGTCCATTTTTGAATCCTTTTTTCTTTTTTCGTCCCCTTCAAATTGAGGCTTGTAAACATTGGTTTTCTGTGTTACTTTGTAACTGTTAAGGATTTGGGAGCATCATAGGCTATATTCTAGCATAAATGATGGGACAATATATTTATGAGTAGAAATATTATGATGGATTATAATTTAAGTTTTGTTGATGTGGTACATTCCACACGTGTTAGTGATTTCATTGAGAAGCTGCCTTAATATATGAAGCTAGGATGTGGTTTTCACGTTGGACTATCACACATTTTTTATTTTAGAAATGCATGTAATTAGACTTAACTTTCGGTGCAAGCAGGCATAATTTAGATGTAAAATTGGGTGGCTGAGGATATGTCATCAATTGGGCGCAAGTCCAAAGTAAAATTTGTCGAATGCTGTGACAGTTACATATGTTGGATTTCACATCCAATGGCTAGGAGTCATTGGGACCTCCTTGCACCAACAGTGAATGATCTTATAGTATACAATCCCTTATTATTTTAGGTTATTCCTTGTTGTTTGCATGGTTGTGACCTACTTTAATGATGTCTTATTAGCCTCCCTACTTAAAAGGTGAAAGCTACACATCCAGTTGCAGTTCTGTTAGAGGCAGATAAAATAATGTGAAAATCTGAACATCATCTATATCTTTCATATTTGTGCTCATAAAATCTATGCCTTTGTTCTTTTGCTTTTCATCTTAGCTCTCTTGACTCTCTGGCAAACCTATGAAGATTGAGTTATATCACTGGCCATAGTGTAGATTCACTGATACATTTAGCTAATACTATTTCATTTCACTTGTTGCAGTATTTCATCTGCTCGTCATTAAGGTTTTCTCCTGTACGAGCTGTCTAGGAGAGCATAAGTTGTGGGCATTTAACTTGTACAGATGTGCTTTTCATAAGCCAAAAGTTCGTAATTTTAAGGGCTCAAGGAGGTAAAGATTTTGTTTTTCCCCAAAGGATGTTTCAGAATAGCTCATTTAAAATTTCAGAATAGCTCATTCAAAATGCACAGATCTAATGATTGTTTGTCTAAATAGAAATGGCCATAGTTTGAAATAGGCTATTGTTGTACTTGCTCAAGTTCTTACGGCTTCCTGTGTTACTGTATTCACTGAAATATGATCTTCTATAGGTACGGATATCGGAATCCTTTATTAGACCTTGATAAGTTGTCTTAGTGTGCTCTCTATCTATTTGGTCAGAAGGTTGGTCAGCATCCAACTTATCAGGCATGACCCCCTTTTCAATTAGTTATTTGACAAACTTCATGCCTTGAATATGTGAAAAATCACAAAAGCTCACTTGTTTTGGTGATGTTTGGCTCCTTTGTGTGACATCTTTTATTGCGTAGAAATGCCAAATGGGCATTTGGAGTGCGAAACGGACATTAATAGTCCCATAAAAAATTGGATCTTAAGGTGTTAATGTGTTGGTTTTTTTAATTTTATATGTTCGGCCTTAGGTTTCAGGTTCAGGCCTCATCGGTTTTACTTATGGGTATTTAATAACTTAATATATTTATATATCTATTTCTTATTTTATTATTAGAAATTTTTTGATTCTCTAAATAACAGCTATACAGATCTCATTTCTGATTTTAAGGGTTTTGTATCAGATGTCTTAGAAGCATGTCTGCAACAGACACCTCTTTCAATGCCTAGGTGACATATGTGACAACTCTTACTCCCTGTGTCTAGGGACTTGGCTGAGTCAACTAGGACTTGGCAACTTGCTGAGCCGAGTAGTAGTGTACAAATTTGGTAAAGAAAGAAATAAAATAAATCCACCACCACCACCATCACCATCACCATCACCATCACCACCACGATCACCACCACCACCACCATCATCATCATCATTCGAGCCTTATCCCAACTATTTGGGGTCAGCTACATGAATTTTGTTCTGCCATTCCGCTCTATCAAAGCCATACCCTCAGTCAGATCATAAGTAACCATATCTCTTCTCACTACTTCCACCCATGTATTTTGGGCATGGGCATTCCCATTGCCCTTATAGGGCTCTCTACTTGAACCAAATTGGCCCTCCTAGCCATGGTTTTCTAGGTTGATATTGTACATGGCCAGCTCCCTAAGTCTACTTTCCTTCATTTTTGTCACCTATTGGAGCTACCCTTAAGTTCTTTTGGATGTATTCATTCTGAATCCAATCATTTCTTGTCTTGCCACTCATCTACCTTAATATCCTCATCTCAGCTACACTCATTTTGTGGATATGTTGTTTCTGCCTACATTCTGTCCCATAAAGCGTGGTTGGTCTTACAACCGTTCTATAGAATTTCTCTTTAAGTTTTATTGGTATGCGATGGTCACATAAGACTCGGGAAGTACATGTCCATTTTGTCTACCCAACTTTAATTCTATGCAAGATTTCTTCCTCAAACTCTCTGTTCTCATATAGATTATCAACCGAGGATATAGAAAATAATTTCTTTCAAGTTCTTCTTGGCTATCAATTTTAACTATTTCCTCTTTTGTACTCCTATAACCATTGAACTTGCATTCCATATATTCTATCTTTGTCGGGCTAATTTTAGAACCTTTAGATTTTAGAGCATTCCTCCAAAGTTTTAACTTTGTATTGGCACCATCTCTAGTCTCATCAATCAAAAGACTAGTTAACTTGACCATAAACGTTGCCCCCTAATGTAGGCTACTATGACTGAAAACTTCCTTGTTTCTCTAGTAGTTGTCCTCGCACTAGTTGGTGCTCTTTTGTGCATATCTATCACCATGTTAATATATCCTCTAGAGACCCCTTTCTTTTCCAACACCCACCAAATTGAAATAAATCTATAAAAATGTACCTCTTTAGCAAGTCAATGTATAAATATGTTCCTGTTTCCTATATAAATTTAATGATTTTGATGATGATGATTTATGAATTGTTTTTATCATTTGCTCTATTTTTATAGTTGGGCCGTTTGAAATTTTCTGAATTATTTCCAGCTATTAAATTTCTTGTTCATCTTTTATTTTTATTTTTAATTATTTTTGAATTTTAGTGCTCGTCTTTGAACATCTTAAGTTTAATAATTTTAATTCTTAAAACGTGACGGTTAAAGGGTGCAGTTTGCATACGGATGCATCTGTAGGTGTAGAGGTAAGGTGCACCTTCAAATTTTATCATGGTATGTAATTTTGATGTAAAATGTTCTTAGGATTATCTCAAAATCTATTTTTATATCTAATTATAAAATTTTAAATTTCAAAATGTTAACATCAAGTAGATCTATAAACATATGAAAATCTTGAAAATGGACGGTGTAGATAATATGTTGTAAAATGCACTATTTCTGAGACTTAAAATCTTTTTATTTTTCATAGTCATACATCTCTATGTCGAGATGATCAATCAAAGGGTTTTTCAACATGAAAACTACCTTTTCTAATGGATTTTGAGGGGCATCCGTAGATCTACATTATAAGGTAGCATCCTTGTATAAACTTTTTCATAGTGTTAAAAAGGCTCCCTCTTATGTCAAAATTCTCCAGCTTAATATTCTAAAGGTCCACTTAAAAAGTTCGGTTGGCAATGATCGCAACTCAACGTCCTTTACTGAACTAACTCCAACCCCACCTATCCAGAAAAACAAAAGAAAAAAGAGAGTTCTGCTAAAATTTTAATCAGTGAGATGATTGTGATACCTTGCTAAGAAGTAGCATAATTGTGATGCTTTTCTTATAGAATAGAGTTTTATTGACATTACGACCTTTTAATTTTGGTATTTCAGGGTCGCATGGGCTAAAATGTGAAGCTGTCCATCTAGATGTCAGTATGGAATCCATCAAACAACAATATTTCAGTACTGTAAAGCCTGACCAAAGAACCAGGCTTCACCAACTCATGTGCCCCACTTATGCACCACTGTAAAGAAAATATCGTGGTTTTAGGTAGACACATTTTTGTCGATGCTGGCAATTTCTTGACATATTTTGATCTTTTCTTTGTTTCGAAAGCAAAGCTGTTCAAAATTTTATTCAGTTGATATGGAATGTGCTGAAAGCTATTCCTCTTCTCCTGTAAATAGTTTGATCATTTTGACTCAGCATTTTGGGTTCTCTCTTGTGAAATGGAATGTTCTGAACGCTATTGCTCACGATCGGACTTTGCAATCCCATATTTATTTTGTTTTTTATATCAAAACTCTGGAATATGGAACTAGTTGGAGTTCAACATGAACTTAAGTTGCTGCTACAAATGCTTGAAACCCTTTCACAAAACCGCTGAACATGGCAGTTCTAAACGGACGATTCTACATGACGGACATGAAGTTGTGGGAAGCACCTGTGTCAAGAATGCTATTGTTCAGCACGTATTCCAAGATCTTTCATGATAATACGTGCAGCAGTGGAGGCAGGTGTGGTCTTTACCATTTTTTTTTTTGTCGGCACTTAAGCGAAAGAAGAAATTTGTGATCATCTTGTTGTCGGCATTGGCAATTGAATGATTTAGCATCAAATTATCATTAAGTATATCTTTCATGATCGCATTATCGAAGAGTATTTACCTTCTTTAATATAAGGAGGTCCCATCACCCCTAGTTATTAGCTTTAGAATTTGGCCGATATGCCGCAACGTTTGAAAATTTTCTTTTTAGATTTTGAACCCCTTGTGTGACATTGTATCAAAAGTAAATAGATTTATTTTATATTTTTAATTATTTAAATAGTTATTACTATCTCACACTCTCTTTTAAGTGAGTGAAAAACCAAAATGACATCTAGAGAGAGAACGAGAGAGAGAGTCGACTTATCAAGCGATTGAAGATCAAGTGATGGTTTGATTGGGCTGCAGCGTTATCAAATAACTTCGCTAGTCATTAGAAATCACAATTCAAGCATGGGAATATCTTTACATTGATCTTCTAACATTATAGCATTATAGTTGGGAAAAAAAAAGAAGGATTTCAAGCTCTAAAAAAAATGAATATGGTAACAAATTATCTAGATCAACTATTTCTCCCTACAAAATGTTCACCAATCCATCATATTTGTGCTATTTTTTGAGTTTATTGTTGGTGTGGGAAATTGATTTTAGAGCCATTATGAAAATTTCCGTTGTTAAAAATACTTTCCGGATGAAAATTTGAGGCAGCTTTTATTTTATTTTTATGAAGCCTAGGCCTTGTAAAAACTTCATCTTTAATACGAAATTGTCTTTCCCCCAACCAATTTGACTTCATCCTTACTACGAAATTGTCTTTCCCCCCAACCGATTTAGTTTGAATTGCGAATCAAGATTTCAAAACTATCAATAAAAGAATAATAAGTTTCATATATCTACGAAATTGTATTTCCCCCGACCAATTTAGTTTGAATTGTGAATCAAGATTTCAAAACTATCAATAAAAGAATAATAAGTTTCACATATCAACATGCACCTTTCAGTAGGTCTTCTTGAGACAATAAATTTAAATAATTAGAAGCTATTTTAACGGGTTATATTTTACCTAAACCTAGAAATTACATCTAGACTTTGCTATATGATTACGAAAGACTAGAGATTCACCAGAAAATGTTTAACTCTATATTTCTGGAAGCATTTTTCCATCTAATTGAAGTCTGATATATGAATCTTGGTAAATTTTAGTAAATTTTACCTTGGCTGTCTACCTAACTTTTTAGTTAGACATGGACGGGGTTAAAAGAAAAATTAAAGTGATCACCCTTCTTAAACCTCAAATATATGTAAATAATTTATTCAAATTTTGATTTATGTAATGTAATAAAGATTTGATTTACAAAAAATAGATTAATCGGAATTATCCAAGTCCACATTGTCCACTACCTGCCTTGTTTTAGCTCGAGAAATAAATAAAGGAAAGTTGTTTAGCTCGAGAAATAAATAAAGGAAAGTTGTTTCAGTCTGGCTGAACAGCATTTCTACAATATGTGGTCCCAAGGTATAAAGATGATGCAAATTGGTGGTCCATCTAAAAACAAATGAAACTAATGGTCCAAATGTTTTTTTAATAAAATTCTTATTTTTAATTTTTAATTTTTTCATACTTATGTTCTCAATGTTAGAGATTACGTATTCTTAAAAATTAAGTCTAAAAATCCATCTACAAAGTAAGCGGTGACTCATTTCTACATGGAGTCACAAAAACAGTCTCGAGAAATGTGGTTTCAATACTGGAAATCTTTGTGATAGCCTTAAAATATAAGAGGTGACTCTAAGCAATCAAGTTAGAGCATACCTTTAAATAGTGTTGAGAAATGTGGTTTCAATACTGGAAATCTTTGTGATAGCCTTAACATATATTTTCATCTTTATAAAGTTTACAGCTTCAAAATAGTTTTGTGATAGCCTTAAAATATATTTTCATCTTTATTTATAAAGTTTACAACTTCAAAAATAGTGTAGATTGATAGATCTATGAAAACTTGAAAATCTTGAAAATTGACGGTCCAAAAATGCATTGCAAAATATACTATTTTCAAAGTTGAAATTATTTTTTTCTCATGTCCATGCATCTTGATGTCCAGATGATCAATTTGAAGTCTAGTGAAATTTTTGTGATAGGCTCCAATTTGATTGTTTAGAGCCTCGGCTCTATATAAACTTTTCCCAAATAGGAAAAGTTTATATATAGCTGAGGCTCTAAAGAATCAAATTAGAGCCTACCTCAAAAATTTCACTGGAAGAGGTTGTTTTAATGCTCAAATATCCTCAAATTGATCATCTCAACAACAAGATGCATGGGCATAAGAAAAAAATGGATTTCAAGTATTTTAAATAGTGTATTTTGTAACACATTTTTGGACCGTCAATTTTCAAATTGTCATAGATATGTCGATCTACACTATTTTTGTAGCTTTAACATTTATAAATAAAGATGAAAATATATTTTAAGGCTATCACAAAGATTTCTAGTATTAAAACTACACTTCTCGACATTATTTGAAGGTAGGCTCTAATTTGATTGTTTAGAGCCTAGGCTCTGTACAAACCGCAGCCAATAAAATAAAATAAAATAAAAACTAAAGGGTGTGGTTTGTATAATGGTCTATAAGGCTGAGGCTCTAAACAATCAAAGTAAGGTGCCGCGTGTTGAAAGATACTATTTTAATATTGGAAATCTTTATTGTGGTCTGAAATTTTATTTTCATATCTAATTATAAATTTTAAAACTTCAAAAAGAGTGAAGATCGAGCATATCGGTAAACATTTGATGATCTTGGAAATTGACCATCCACAAAATGCATTACAAGATGCACCCGCCTAGGTGGTAAAAAAGGCATTCCCCTTGGCGGGTGCCCAGCCGCCCAACCTTGAGCATAGGCAGCTGCCTAAGGCCTACGTTCCACCTAGGGGTGGAAATGATCATCGTTGGGTATTTTTAGGTTGTTTTATAAAAATAAGAGGGAAAATGGTGAGGTTTAGTTTCATTTCAAACCTAAACCTTTTTAGAAACCATTTTAGAGAGACCTCTAAAAAAACTTAGAATTTTGTGATTTCTATGGGGAGAGAAACTTAACTTTATGTGTTTTTTTTATATTTATTTCATTTTCTTGATGATGAATCGATGTCTTGCTAAGTTGCTATCTTGGATTATGGACTAAAATATATATGTCAATATTTTTTATTTTTTATACAAAATTTGACTTTAAAACAACGTTTTCATTCTACTGGGTTGCTTGGACCCGCGGCCGCCTAGGCGCCACCCGACATTTTTGGGAACACCGCTTTAGGGTTTCACCTCAACGTTTTATAAAGTATTTCCAAAACTAAAATAGAGGCTTATGGGATGGGTATCTAGAGGGGACCCAAAAAACATTACATAAGCTTTAAAAATAAAAAATAAAAAATTATATATATATATATAAAAGAGGGGTTTTAGAGGGACCTAGGCCGGAGCCTATATGACCTCAAAACCCATTTGATCCCGATTGGTTCCCATCTGGATGGAAAATCCAAATTAGATATTTCCTTGAGTTTTAAAATACAGTTTATGGGGATAGAGCCATCTATGTAAAGTGTGGATGCTTAATACCTCCCTATGTTGAAAACTTGAAAAAATTTGCTTTACTAGTAAGCATTGTACATGAAAGCAAGGCATTCCTTGGCAACCAACGCACCGCGGTCGTACAATTAGAGAACCATTGATGGTTATGATTTAAAAGAAAAAAAAAAAGTTCTAAAAATATCAATCATTCATATTCAAGAGTTTTAATTGTTTTACAAGTCCCCAGGATATATAGTACATTGAAGTTTTAAATTTAGTAATTAAGAATATAAACAAACTTCAGAGGTTTTCATAACTACATCTTCTAAGAGAATGTAGAGGTGCACTTTATTTTGACTTTTCTTTATGGGTTGGTCAACGTAGACCATTTATTTCATCGATCAAGCTCAGACCATTTATATAAGGTTGCAACCTTAAAATATACTTGCGCAACAAAAGTCCATCTGAAAAATATTGTTTTAATATTGAAAAACCCGTTTTAATATTGAAAAACCCTCTAATTGATCATTTCGATATAGAGATTAATAAATATTAATGAATATAAAAAAAAAATTTAAATTTCAAAAAGAGTACATCTTGCAATATATTATCTTGACCGCCTATTTTCAAGATTTTCATATGTTTATGAATCTACTTGATTTTAACCATTTTTGGAGTTTAAAATTTTTATAATTAGATATGAAAATAGATTTTTAGATAATCCTAAAACCAATTTTCACCAAAATTATATGTTATGATAAAATTTAGACGTACACCTTAATTGGATTGTTTAAGGTTGCAACCTTGTAGAAACCACACCCTTTAATATATAAATAAGATATTACATAATATATATTATATTATTAATAGTGAATAGTGGGTGCACATGTGAAAATAAAAGCCGAAAAATGTTTTCCCACCTTAAGAGGTGAGGTTTTGTTTTACCATGAATTAGACCACGTTAAATTATTATTTTTTGATGAAATTTGACCAGCTAAAATTTCTACCGTGGGATTTATTTGCATGTGTATTACGCATCAAACAAAAGTATAAAATACAATTTTCATGTGAAATACAATTTTCATGTGAAAATGTTTTCCAAAAAATATTTGCACTGAACCATACGTGCCTTTAAGAATTACCACAAGATAATAATTACTTTTAATTACTTTGAAAAATGAGCATAAGAAGCATTAAAATCCATTAAGTATATTACAAGAAAAATATAATTATCTGGCAAGGCAAATTACAATATCCCTGAGTCTCCTGAATATGCATATGATTATCAACAAAATAATGCACAATTCTTCAGGGGATTGAGTTTAGCACATCTAAGGACCTCCATTTCACAACGAAATTGGCAAATCAACTCCTGCATAAAAATAATTTCTAAACAAGTTTAAGGACAATTTATACAGATTGCAATAATAGGAAAAAAGAAAGAAGGATTTCTAGCTAGCCATACCTCAGACAATGCTTCTCAACGGATTGATTTTCCACTTCATATCACCAAGCAATGGATGACTCCACTCCAATATGAGGAACACAATATATCACACAGCATCATCCATGTCAAAGTCATCCATTAACTCAACACTGACACTGAAAGAGATTGGTCGGTGTATTGTATGTGACAATGTGTTTGCTTAAGCAAATTATGTTGATCTCCTTCCCCTTGGGTGTGTACATGTTCATGCCGTCTTTGTAGATGTTTCTAAAAGCTTACGGCTTACAAGGACTCCCTCATTCCAGACTTCAACCCATCTATTAAAATCAAAGGCATGTATAATTATTGTTTAATATCAAAGGGCATTTAATGCCTTAAGACTCATAGTATATAACCTAACAGGCCATGGAAGTGAGCATGATATGATAAATGGATGGAAAATATATTGCACGTGTTATGTGCGGTGTTTGGCACACGTGCCAGCCATCCCTTATTTGTTGTCATCAACAGACAGTGGTAATGAGTATATGGTCTGCTTTCTAAGTCCATTACTGTAACAGAAACTACTCTCCATCATCTGTTGATAGGAATGGATTTACATGCCTAAATACACGATGTGTGCTACATGGACCCTAGCTAGAGCCAATGCGCAGCAAGAAAAATCCAATGCCAAGGTGAAATATAATCAATAACATATGCAATCGAGAAATTCCAAACATGAGTGTTTAACTCCCAAGTATGTATGTAACGTGAAATAACCACTAACATATGAAACGAGAAATTCCACTCATGAGTGTTTTAACTCCCAAGTATGTATGTTTGAAATTCAAAACCTTGGATTTATACAAGTTCCATGAACTTGGTTTCTGCCAAGTAATCATTACCGACTGAAGTTTCCACAATAATGTTAGGAGTCATCATGGATCTGTTTTTCTCAAAGAACAGATCCAACACAAGAAGATGTAGTGTCTGAAGAACAGTCTCATTCACTAAATACCAGGTTATGGATGGGGTCATTAATATAAGATAATCAAAATAAACATCATCTATACACTCTTAGGATGTACCAAAAAGAGTTACTTTTTTTTTTAATTTGGTAACCACATTAAATACAAGTTAGAACATGAAATACTTTAATATTTCATTCTTTTTAAAAAATAACTACCATGAAATGTTCTTCTTAAAATACATCTTTCATATTATAATTTTTTGTTTCAAATAGTTCGCCATATCTCTCATTTGTTGCCAGTGCATTGCACAGGATTGAATGCTAGTACACCAATATAATATACTGACCAAGCCACCCACAACATCTACACAATGCTTATTGCTAGCAATTCCCTCAACTCATGTAAGTCACAAGAAGCACAGAATTTGCTACGTGACATAAAATAACACATCATAGCCATTGTAAATACATTCTAACCCTAGAGTTTCAAAGAGAGGGTGAAACATAATTAGTCCCTAAATGATTATCTGGATGATGGCAAGAAAATTTACCATGATATATTTCACTCACAAAAAAGACCAAAGAGCCATGAGCATTACATAACCAGAGTGGAAGCAAGTTTTAGAAAAGCACGTGTGCTGATATTGATGAAAAAGGAGAAATGATGAAAAAGGAGAAATGATGAAATTGTTGGCTGTGGATATACATAATTAAGCTAAGTCTCGATATGCCACAATAAAACTGACGTTAATATCTCATGATTAGCATGGGTTATATGACCTTGTCAGTTTTTGTCTGGATATATGTATAAGTGATGCTAGTAAATCACTAGTTTTTGAGGAAATGAAGACAAAGGACCTGTAGACCCATGACCACATAATTATCATTGGGCATGAGACTGTTTACCTTTAATATATGAAGATCACAATCACCCCTAGCCATCAGATGTGAAATATGGCGGCCAATGGTATTCAAGAAAAACTTTTTTGGACTTTGAGCCTAATCATTAGCACCACCCCAGTTGTCCAATTTCAAATCTAATGGCTAAGGGTATGTTTGACCTTTTTGTAAAAAAGGTAAATGGTATTCTTTTGTACTTTTCTTTCCTTATTAAGTATATCACACCTGGAAACAGTACTTAATAATTTCCCAAATGGCTTCATATGGATCCAAATAACTGTGTGATTCTAAAAGCCGAGAGATACACTTGTTTACAATTATCCAGATTCCAGATTTCAGTTGTGAATAAGCACCTTGTTCCATCAGCTTCAATATAAAGACACTGGCCATGCCGCCAACCATCCTGAAAATGGCCAAAAAATACATATCCATCTTTTGAATAGAATCTCCCTTCACCGTTGGCCTTGCCCTTCCAAAAGTTTGCAAACCAGCGGTCTCCAGTATGGAAGTAAAACCAACCCTGTGAAGATTGGAAATTGAGATGAACAGTAAATTGTGTTTTGCCATTCATATAGAACCGAATAGTCGACCTCAAATAGTTGGGAAAAGGCTATGATGATGATTCATAAATATTAATATGTGACAAATTTAGTTACTAATACAAAAAATAGAAGTCAATAACAAAATTCAATAATCAATACCAAACATATTTTATAGCATGGTGCAATTCCTCATGAAACTAGGAGGGCAACCATAACAGAAGAGTTAAAGATTCCTCACAATTAGAACTTTAAAAGAAAAATGTTGATTGTAGAAATTATTAATTTTGTGTCCCACAAACGTGCCATGCATGAGCTTATACCGGGTACCTCCACAGATGCACATATCTCAGGCTTACTTTCTAGCTGCCCAACACTGTACAAGCATAATATTTGATATTTCATCTAAGGTTATGCATGTTATATGTTAAGGCAGATTTATGAATTCTTGGATCTGAAAAAGGCATACCTTGCCATGAATAAGGTCCTCTCTCCAAGATCCCTGGAACATATCTCCATTACTGTAGTAAAATGTCCCCAAACCTGACCTCTTACCCTGGCGCCACATGCCATCATAGAAGCTTCCATCTGTGAGAGTTAGACGGCCCTGAACAACTAAATTTATAAGATGAAAGCAGCTACCCACAATAGTTTTCAGAAAAAAACTTTCGATGTGAAAAGTAAAGGATTCAAGAGAGAAAATAAACAAACAACTTAACTCATGCTATTCATTGTATACGTAGTTCTCGCAATAAAATCAGTATGAACTTAATGAGTACCTTTCCTTCAGGAAGCCCGCCTTGGCAGCGGCCCTTATATACTCCTCTTCGATATGGCATCTCCATTACAGGATTCCACTTTCTGGGGCTGTCTCTTTCAGCTTCCTGAAAAAGAATTGTTTACAGCTGGAACTTCAAAGTCAAACTGCATCTTGCCAATATCATGGCTTAAGACCAAGGATACTACGAAACTATCATGGGAATACTAATGAAATTTGAACCAGGGTCCAATGCATGTTCAGAAGAAATGAACTTACCAACATGGATGCTGCACGGGTAGAAAGCAGTCCTTGCTTCTTAGACCCATTGTCAGTTTTACCCACAAGAAGTGTGGATGCTGCATTGTAAATATCCTTTACAACTTCAAAACTTGCATCAGTTAATGCATCAAAAGAAGGCCCATCATGCATGACTTCTCCATTCTTATCATCCAATTTTTTTTCTTCTGCTAACTGTGGAATGCAAGAGCTCAGGTGATCATCTTTGGACACCTGAGAGTGTTTTACACCAACTGGAAGGTTATAAGAATTAAACTCATCCATCCTAGGAGTAGCTTGTATAGTTGCTGCTCGCTCTTTTGCCCACTCTTGCGCAATTAAGGAGACTGGCACCTCATTCCAGCCAGCCAATGATTCCCTATGAAAGGAATGCTCTCCTGATGAAAAGACCAGGAGCAAGATGAAGAAAATTAGTTCATCAATCATTTGACAAAAGATAAGCCTTAAGCCTGCAACAAGAGAAAAAGCATAAATTCAATCTGCCATGAAATCATAGATCTACTAAGCCAAAGGTAGTGTTGTTAATCATGAGCTCCAACTCTGTTTAGAGGGGCAATAAACAGGACATAAAAGTCCAAAACCTAGTGCGAGAGAGGAGGTTTCACAAATACCTTCTGAGAGATAATCAGAAGAATAGGCAACAGACTCAGAAAATGTCTCTGAAAAGCCAACTTCGGTCCTTCCATCTCCATGATTAAATTTGCTTTCACAAAAAGAGTCGAGGATTATTAGGGCCAGAGTTTCGAAGTTTCCTCTTTTCATTTCCCAAATAGACAGAATTAAGTGTGAATCAAGTATGCAATAACAGACCTGGAGGCACTATTTTCTTCATGATTTCTGCTAAATTGTGTTCCATCACTGTCATCTGCATGTTCTATGGGATTCTGAACATTTGATGCATGAGTGGTCCCTACATCTGATGGGCATGATTCCTTCTTTGAAGAACGTGAACTTTTGAGGGATTGCTCTGATGGAAGCTCATCAGATTTTGAATCACGATCTCTCCCCAGAAATGAGAAAACAAATGGAAAATGCCGAGCAAGCCCAGAAAAGAAACTCCTCTTCTGGGCAACTTTTTGTTTGTTATAGCTGACAATCACACACATAACCATAATCATTAGAAATAATGTGAAATAATTATATATCGCAGAAAAAACTTATAAAGTTCAATAGTGTTCTTTATATTGTATAAAGAACTCACTTTTTTTGGCATATGTTTGTATTTGTATGCATCTTATAGTGCAATTTTTTATGTTTAGTTTTTTTTTTTTTTTTGGGGGGGGTAGGGGGGGTGGGTGGTTGGTTGGAGTGCAACTTGGATCTATGGTATAATATGGTTTTCCCTTTAGTGTAAACTTTGAATATTCTACAGTAATCACCACCTCTTTCTTATTTCTTAATCACCACGAGACAGGGCATCAAGCTGTTTCTGTTAAGCGGACAAGCAAAAAAAACAAAAAAAGAAATGGACTACATAAGTCAATGGGGACACATGAAGCATTGCATATGATATTCATAGCAGAAGTCAGAACTTACTCAATTGCAATAATCGTTGTTAATACCAGATGTTGCTCGAGATCGGGCTCCATAATGTTGGAACAAATGACTTTTCCATTGAACTGTGTAGCTTGACGAAAAACATTAATGAAAACGTTAAGGTCGCTCTTCTCCATGAATTCAGAACTTGTAATGGTGCAGATGACCGTGCCATTTGAGTCCTGTGAATCAGAACTAGTGCAATTATAGATTAACATGCAACTAAACAAGGGCTAGACTAGCTTGATTAAAAAACAAAGAAATAGGCAAAAGAAAAAATGCTTATCATATTTGGCAAAAAAGATGTGTGATGAAATCAACCGATGACATAGTGCAACCGAAAGGTTGCATGTAATGTACTCATGCTTCATGAGCTCACTCACACAGATAAACATGGAAATGGAGTGGAGGTCTAAAAAATTCAAACACGCTTCAAGAGATTATTTGCAGTGTCAGCTCTCCTACCTAGGGCACCAATACCCCTGAAGCATGAAGATGCTTGCAGGGGAACTACGAACATATGGAGCACTCCTTTTTGATATGCACTTGCAACGGCAAGTTTACCTATATGCCACAAGAACACAAGCTGGAATGTCTTTGATGCTACCTAAAAAGACAATCAATAACTGCGAAAGTTGAATTCCACTTTGAAAGATAAAAAAATAATTGATTATTTTGGCAGTTAAGCTGATTTTTATGTAGGACAAGGTCCAAACCCTCCATCAAATAGATCAGGTGTCATGCCATAGGGCCAAAGGCAGAGACAACTTTTACTTTCAAGCACAGGAAACAATCTTAAGGCATACACTACTTATAGACAAATTTATTCTAGGACTAAAATAACCAATTTAGATAAATATATCTCAATTGGTACCTCACATAGGAAAGAACACAAAATCTGGTAAGTAATTATGAGTTCTTTTCATTAAATAGTTCATTATTTTTGAGCTGAGAGGTACTTGGTCGGACTCCTACATCTTTAAGGGAATTTATAATGCATCCAACTTGCAGGGTGCCAAGTCTACTTGGAAATCCCTTTGTGTGATAAACCATTCATGGCATAAGTTTCTAGAGAACCATAGTTTGCAGCAAATAAATAAATATAAAAAAAATAAGGAAGATATTTTACCTTCGGAATACCTCCAATGAAAAAAGGGCAATCAAATACAGCTCGTAAAGTTGAAGATTTAATGCTATAACCAGCTCCAAATCCAACTTTTCCTTCTCCATAGTCATTCAAAATCTGTACATTAAATTAAATCTTAATAAGAGAATGTTGTAGCAAAACATGTAATGTAATGATGTAAAACATTACTTCGAGAAACGATATGATTTGGTAGAAGTCAACATTCAAACAGTTTTTTCTTTTCTTTGTTTTTCTTTTTTCATATAGGCAACATTCTGACTGGTATGTTGATGAAAGTCATAAATGAGAAAGTCAAGAATAAATATCACAAAGCAATGTAACCTAGTCCTTCACGGACACAGGTCTTCAAATGGTTATTTTATCAACAGAGGGGCCATAAACATGTTTCTGCACATACATGCACAAACACATAAAATACATGCAAAAAGGGACAAAAGGGATAATCAAGGAATACAATAGATGACACATAACCATAAGAAAATGAATATGGATTAGAATATGGCTTTCTGCAAAGAGAACGGAACTTGCAAGGATCACCAAGAATCACAATTTCCTGAAGCTTAATATTTTAGCTGGATAAAATATGCCTTTCTTGGTGACACTTCCCATTACGTGACTAAGTGTTTCTACATAATGCAGCCAACTTGGCAACACTTCCCAAGATAAAATATGCCACTTAGGTTCCCATCAGAAGAGTTGACATGGGTGCTGCTAACTTGACAACTACTTACGTGACAATGTGTGAAAGAATGTGTCACCTAAAACACCATCTATTTTACCTTCAGACACATGAGCTCTAAATGCGATACAGAAAATTTTGGGGAAATAGTGAGAAACAGTTTAGCAGATGAGACTGTTTTGTTATGACCAAGATGGATATGAGGGTGTGAAATGCTCAGAAAAAATAAAACAGCGTACCTATATAAAATGGCAGACGAGCCATCTTTTAACAAAGCAGTAATGAAAATGCAACTTTATATTTGTCATTTTTCACACCATACAATGGAAATGGACATCTCATTTCACAAATTCTGAGATTTCCTTTATCTATTATTATATATTAAGCGAGAAGAGGGCCCTTCAAATTTTCGCGACTAGTGTTCTTTTTTCTTCCTCTTTTATCCTTTTATTTTTAAGTATTTCCTGCTTTGTCCTAAGTTATTTTATTTGATGACCCATTCTCTCTTATCTAATATGATAACTCCCTCTAATTTTAAGATTACTCTCTTTCTTTCTCATCTTTCTTACTTTTGGAGATATATCCTTAGCTTTCTCTTTCTCAAGATTCTTTGAGAAATTATGTAATATTAATTATTTTCTACTTGAGAATGCCAAAATCCAGAAAAATAATTTACCACAAATACTTATATGGGTAAAGGCAAAAAAAAAAACATAATTCCTTCTCTGGCTTTTGTAATACTTACATATTAGTAGTTAGTATATTTACAAATACAAATAAAATAAATAAATTTATGTTAGTAAATGGTATAAATGTAAATAAAAAAAGGGACAAACAGAATAATAATTAACCATAAATGCAAATTGCAGAAATACAATAACCTCAAAAATAGTTACTTTAATAGAAATCATCATCATCATCTAAGATTTATCCCAACTATTTGGGGTTGGCTAATTACTTTCATAGAAATGATTACCTCAAAATGCAAGCTACATTAATAAATAAAAATAATTCATCATAATCATCATCATATCCAAGCCTTATCCCACTGATTTGGGGTAGATCACATGAATCATGTTCCTCCATTCTTCTCTATCAATGGCCATAACCTCAATACAACCAAAAGTAAGCATATTTTTTCTCACTATTTCCTTAGGTTCAAGATTCATGATAAGATGTGGCAAAGTTTTACGCTAGCTGCCTATCTAACACAAACCCACATCCTTTACTCAGGCTTGAGACAGGTTAAGGGAAAGTTTAAGGTCCTCACCCCTATAAGACCATAATAAATAAAAAATAATGAAAATTAGTCAATACCAAAAACAAGAAAAACAAAAACTCAATAATATAGTTACCTCAATTTACAAGATACATTAATAAATAAAAATAATTAAAAATAGTAAATAAAAAAAAACTTCATTTTTCTTTTTTCATTTCTATTTTTCTCTTTCTCCTTTTCATTTTCTATCTGTACTTTTTTACGATTTTCAAAATACAATTCTAAATTGGAAAAAGCAAAATTCTCAGAGAGAAGTCTTTGCTACCATGAAATGAAGAAAAATAAGTAATACAAACATTATTATCAATTTTATTTGCAATAGATACATCATTATTATGGGTTATTTGTTATATGTATCATGTGACATGGTTTTGTATTTTCACTCTCTAATTTTTATAAAAATATGTACTTATAAGTAAATAATATATTTACTAATATAACTGAAGATAATTTGAATTATATCTAAAAATAATATAACTGAAAATACAAAATATAAAAAAATATAATTAACAAAAAATGCAAGTTATTATTATATACAAAGAAAAGTTAATACTTATATTAGTAAGCACAAAAAATAAAAATTAATATACTTACTAATATAATTGAAGATAATTTGAATTATATCTAAAAGTAATATAAATGAAAATTTAAAAATATAAAAAAATATAATTCTCAAAAAATGCAAGTTATTATTATATACAAAGAAAACGTTAAAACTTATATCGGTTAGTACAAAAAATAAAAAGATATATCTCTTCGCACTACTTCCATCCGAATAATATAATCAAAATTTTTTTAGAAAAATAATTACCTCACAATGCAGTTAGAAATAGAATTACAGATATGTTTTGAAGTTTATGTAGTATGGTTTTACATTCCCATTTTTTCTAATATTTACTTATTATTTAAGTAAATATTATTTACTAATATAATTACTAATTTTAGAGTAGGTTAGAAAATAATATAATTGAAAACATAAGAAAATAATAATTATTTAATAGAAGCCCACATGTGAAGATAGATTCATCAAAAACTCTCTTCTATAGACCCTTTCCATAAAGGAATTTTATGCCTTTTTGAAAATTTTATTTTTAGATTGAAATTTTATTTTAATCATTAATATTTAATACACGTGCAATGCACATGCATATCACTAGTATGTATAATGTATAGCATGTAAATAATTGTGATATCTATTGCAGTATTAATTTTGAGCAATGTTAACTCTCTTTCTTCACATGTCTCTCATTCTATTTTAACAAAATTAGATTTTCTTTTTTAATTTGTGTTTGGTTCATTAGATTTTATTCTTATTACTTTTTCTATTAGATGAAATTTCTAAGATTCTGTGCAACACACGGCCTGTATCCTAGTCATTTTAATAGGACTCTAACCGTGTGGTTTCGAGTACCATCATGGAAGTATTGAATAAATGCACCACAGACCAACGCTCTCTACCCTTGTCATAGAAGAAATAAGGGATGGATGAAGAAAATGAATATCTCAGACAAAATTGGCCCTGCAATAAATTTCTTTTTGATCATTTTTTTTGACAAAGTTGGCACTGCAATAAATTATCCTTCTAGATATAAAATATGATACCATATTCCTGGGATATTCAGAGTATGCTCAGTCATTAAGATTCATGGTAGTTATCCGTGGTTTGATATGGAATACAGTTAAATCACACACCCCTTCAAGTGCATTCTACCACCAGTTTCATCAAACTTGTGCTCCAAGGAAGTGGTAAATTATAACAGGCGGGATTCTAATTTCGAGGAGCTTTCAGGTATGATTACAATCGGGATAGTTCATGGGTTTGCATACCCATCTCCCATTCTTTTACTGCTCCTTCAGGTCTGAATTCTTGGTTAGTGTTCTTACTTCTTATCCTTTTTGTACTTCATTTTCTAGGCCTATATGCTAGAAGATACCTCTTGTTACCATTTTAAGGAAATAAAAGAACATGTCACCTCAAACAATATGTGATAGTTGTGAATTTCTGTTACAAACTGATATTAATAACATCTTTTTTTACAATGAGGAAGATAAAAAGGAAATACTTTTACTCAAAAAAAGGGTATCAAGCATTCAATAAGCCAGTAGGAACTAGGAAGTGATAACAGAGAATAAAGAGTTCTCCAATTTAGGTTCTACAAGTGATTAAAAGATGTGAAAAAACTCACTTCCAAAGCTTCTAAAAATCCCACCTCCTTCATTTTAGCCTTTGGTGTCTCCAAAAGTTTGCTATGCACATCCTGAAATTTCCAGGCTATAAGTATGTTTGCAAATCACTTAAGGGCAAGTTTTTACAAGGAAGAGCAGCCTGCCAAAGCCCCCCCCCCCCTTCCACAAAAGTGGAAGCCACCCCTTCCATCATTTAGCATGGAAGGGGCGGCTTCCACAATTAAAGTTGTTTTTGAAAGCAGTGTGGAAGGCTGCCCTTCCACACTTGAGCTTCAACTCCCGCGTAACCAATGTGGGAGTATACAGTTGGCAGAACTGGGATCTTCCACTTCCCAAAAGCTCCGCCAGTCCAACACACCCTAAATCACAAGGGTGCTGTTCTAAAGATTTCAAGAAAGTGAACTTACTGACACAAGAACAGAAACAGCATTTACAGCCAATAAGACAGCATTATTTGCACTTCTTACTGCCTCAGTCAGTGTTACAGCATCCTTTTCAAGCAAAGCATTGGTTTCCACCACTGCAGATCTAAAGAACTTGTTATTTGAAGAAGCAGAAGCGTTTTTCACAATTAAAATGATGGACAATACGGCATTTATCAATTTTATTGCATAAAATATTAATTAATTATACCAAACAAAAAATAGTGATTATGTACAATATTCATTATCACAGGAGAGGGGGGAGGGGGGGAGGGGGGGAGGGGGGGGGAAGAGGGACATTGTGAGTGTTGATATTCCATTTTAAAATTAATCACCAATATTGATTAACACAGAGAGGGGGGATGAGGGAGACGTTGACTGTTGATATTCCTTTTTTTTCCCCCTCATAAAGATATTCAATTTTTTTATAACACCAAATCGACGCTCTTACCAATACAAAAGTTGCTCTGGTTGCGAAGCTTCTTTACCAACTCCTCTATCTGTAGTGCAACACATTCAAATAAGCACCTAAACATCATTGATAGTGCCACTATACTTTCTTAGAAGTAATGCCAGTATACCATTGTCCTCTCCAAATATCAAGAAGAGAAGAATGACAAAACCACGGCTTTCACCAGTATGGAATGTAAGCATAATCAAAAGTCTGTAATTGGTGTAGCCATCAAGCAAAGATTGTATATTCCAAAATGCAGGTTTTCTTGACAGTTGCAAAATGTAGGTGTTCTTTTTCAGAAAATGTGTCTCTATACAAATAAATTAAATAGAAAAAATCCATAAGAAACAAATTAGCAGTACCTCATACTGGCGCTTTTGTCCTTCAAAGCTGAAAGGCTTCACCACAATACACACAGCTAGCCCATCAGATGACCTGACGGCACTAATAAGCTCTGTTATTATGTGATGATCTGAGCCATATCCTGCATTAGCCACCTAATGCATAGAACAAATAAGATATCTAACCGAATATTACTTTTGCAAAGAATCAAAGAAACTTTCATAACATCTATTTCCAATTATTGCGAATGAATGCAGCTTCCCCAAGAAGTAAAGAGAGACTATTATCCACGTGAAATTTTCATTTACTGTCTTTGTCTATTTTATCCAAGTTAAATAAAAAAAGATTTTCGTAAGAATAAGGCCCATAACCATCATAAACTAGATTAAAATCTGGGAAACTAAATAGTTATGTAACTAAGAAGCCAAGGAAAGGAATCTACAAACAAGGATAAGGGCCCTGTGATTGCAATGCTTCAAGCTTACATCCTCCACAAGGCTTTGCACCAAATCTGTATATAAAATAAAAAGAATGTGAGCTTTCTCCATATATTTGATTGGATGAATGAAAGTGTAGTGTTCTTCATGCCCACAGTTGCTACTGAAAAGATTTACGCAAATGAGATCTAGCAAAACAGACACCAAGATGAAATTTTTTTTCAGCATCCACATGTAGCCACTGTGATCAGTTGTCTTCATGTCCTTTTTAGCCAAACTGTAACATTTCATGACCAGCAGATCCAATAAATTAACTGAATCCTTTTTATGGTCAGCGAAGCAGATCAAAAGTTTAAAGGAGCTCCTGTAGTAATAGCAAAAATTTAGCAATATCTTTTCTTGATTGTTGTAGAGGTTTATTTCACCTAGATACCGACATTTTCCTTAAAGAAATTAAGGTATACATTTTCTTCTAACTTTTTTTTTACAGGAGCTTAAGGCATGAGCTTAGAGAGGTCCATATTCATAATCAATAAGTAATTTGCAAGAACCCCAATGGTAAAACATAAGTAGAGAGGTCCATACTCATAATCAATAAGTAATCCAATTTAGGACTATTTACTCGGCATATTTATTTGGATTTCACTCCCTGTTTCATCTAATCCCAAAAGCCCAAATTTACTCTTTCTGAATTTAATATTACTGCCATTTACAGGAAACATAGAACTTTCAGCACATCAAATTAAAATATTCAAATGCAAAAATCAAAAGCAAAAAAATTGACCTTTCCCAGTAGTCTTCTGTAGTAAGTGAAACTTTTTTGAATCTGCCGCATTTACAGTCCTGCAACATACTTGCAGGTGTTAACAAATCCACATGTTTAACCCATAAACCTTACCTGCCATTATACATCCATGAATTTTGTGGAGACAAACTTTCTAACCAAATGATTTATAGTAAACACCTTGATCTGTGCTAAACTATCTAATCCAATGGACAAAGGATCTCAACAGTAATTTCTCATAAATGTTTATGTAACTACACAAGAAGATAAAGAAAAACCATAACTATTTTCAAATTGTGAAAAAATTTTTGTTCATTTAACTTATCCAATACATTTCAATGGGACATTTTCTTTTTTAACTAAGAAAAAAACTACACACCAACACTTGGTTTTCATGCAGTAAGTTGCCAAAAGATGAAAATCACTATAATGCAACGTACCAGATAAAGTTAAATATTAATACCTCTCAACTAAGGACCTATATTGGCCAGTGGCCTGAAAATTAACCGCATGAGAATCAAATAGAGGCTCCTCCCAAATCAGTTTCCATCTTTTTGAATCATAATTAACAATTGTCTAACAACTTCACTATAAGCCATCTACTTTCATGTTAATTTCCTTTATAAGTTTATTACACCAGTTCTCACCACTCTTGATAAACATGTATCCATAATTCTAAAAAATGACTTTGAACAAGTGAGGAATCCACGTTTACAGAAATAAACATAGAAATCAAGACAAGAAGTACACTAACAATTTATAAACCCTAGTTTCATCCAACTCAAACTTGAAACAAAGATAAAAGGCTAAAAGCATGGAAACCAACAGTAAGAACACATGCTGACGCAGCCAAGGAAAAAATCACATACCAGAACCTCGCCAATGGAGAAATCAAGGGCGAATTCAAGCAAAAATTAAGAAAAGCATCCTTTCTGCTTCCAATTCCCACCACATCGACTTGGCCTCCATTTTGTCCCAATTCCAGTTCTTCATGGCCAGTTTTTCTATAGCTACAAAAAGAGAATCTTGAGAAGTTTCCACCATTAGACAATCCCCAATCAATTCTCAGAGGAGTTGAAACCCTATCATTTTTCCCTATAGATAGTTTGTTGCAAAAGAATTGAGAGTGGAAACAGAGCTTGGAAGGAGAACAATGGAGAAAAAGGGCAGGAGAGAGATTCGATAGTGGGTTTGGAGAGAGAAGCTCCATGGAATTGGAATTGGAATTGGTTTCAGGGTTTTGACGCCATTAATGGGATTTCTAGGGTTTTGGAGTTCTGGACCGCTATCAGCTTGGGAACAGCGGAGTGAAAATCATCTGAGTGAGCACTTATCACATGGCGGGACGAAAAAGCAAGAAAAATGAATCCAAATTGCACGTGGAAGGGTTATGAAAATTCGCACGACTTTTTTGCATTTGAAGGCGCGTATTCTGCTCCCGCGGACGTATACTGTATACATACTCTATCGTGCTGTTAATCCCAAATTTTAGAAACTACCTAAAGGTCTATATTTAAAAGAAAAATATAAATTTTAAATTTTTTAATACTTAGGTCTCACCATTCAAAACTTAAACAATTTCTGCTTAGTCGAGGAATTATTTTTTTCAAGAGCATAGATGGTTCAATTTCAATTTGAAGTTGTTTGTTTCATCAAGCGTTCGCTGGAAAAGGAATGACCGTGACATAGAGCAAATGGTAAACTTGCTCCCTTAGATAGAACACCGAGTCAAGAAATTGCTGGTGGATTTTATCTACTTGCATGGAAATGTATGGAGGATATCATTATCATCATTATCCATGTGTTATCTCAACTATTTGAGGTCAACTATATGAATTATGTTCTATTATTCCATTATGTCAAGGGTTATACCTTTAGAGTATAGGTTACCATATTTCTTCCCACTACTTCCATCCATGTCGTTTGTCCTTTTAAAGCATTTCATTTGAATCAAATGGGCACTTCTAACTAATGTTGTTCTAGGTCAACACTGCAAATGGCCAAATCACCTAAGTCTATTTTCCATTATCTTATTGCCTATTGAAGCCACCTCCTAAGTTCCCTCAGTGGTATCCGTTTTAAATTTTATCATTTTTTGCCACTCATCCATCTCAACTACACTCACCTATTACTTATTGACCACCTAACATTTCGTCTTATATAGCATGACTTGTCTTATAGCCCTCTTATGAAACTTTCCTTTCAGTTTCATTGTTATGTAGTGATCACTTAAGACTCGGGAAGTACATCTTCATTTTGTGTATCCAATTTTAATTCTATACATGACATCTTCCTCAATCTCTACATTATCACAGATTATCAACCCAAGATATCAAACTGAGTTTCTTTAGGTACTTCTTTATAATCAATCTTAATTAATTCCTCGTTTTTACTCTTTTTATTACTAAACTTACATTCTATAGATTTTATCTTAGTCCAACTAATTGTAAAATATTTAGATTTTAGAGCATCACTCAAAAGTTTTAACTTTGTGTTGGCGACTCTAGTCTCTTCAATCAAAACTGTGTCATTCGCAAATAATATATACCACAATACGTCATGTGGATGATCAGTTAACTCGCCTATAATTAAAACAAAGAGAAAGGAACTCAACACTAACCCGTGATGTACGCCACCTGTCATTGAAAATTCCCTTGTCCTCACACTAGTTAGTACCCTATAATAAATATCTCTCACAACTTCAATATATCCTCTAAAGATACATTTTTCTTCCACCACATACCAAATTAACTATCTAGATACCTATTATATGTTTTCTCTAAATCAAATAAGGACCATGCATAGGTGTTTGATCTTATCCCTAAACTTTTCAATTAATTTCTTAAGTAGAAAAATAGTTATAATTATTGACCATCCTAGCATAAAACCAAACTAATTTTTTAGAAATATAATGAGGATATTAATAATAAAAAAATAATAACATATAATACTCTTATTGGGCAAAACTTAAAAACTTTAAATTATTGTATCGAATAAATGTTTAAATTTAATAAAAGCACATAATAAAAGTGTTAAAAATAAAAATAAAAGTTATTCAAAAATATGATTTAAAATAATTTTAAATTTATACTTTAAGAATAAAATAATTGCTACGTTTTAGTTGAAAGATAATATCATTTTTTTATTGATTTAAATATTTGTGATAACAAAATATGCTAAAAAATGTATAAATAATATTTAAATTTATAAAATATTAAAAATGTGAATTTATTTAAATTATATAAATAAATAAAATATGGTTTCCCATAACCTTTTTCTACAAGAAAGGCAACATAATTTTTCTGAAGAACTTTGTATTGGTTATAATTTGAAATGGATAATAAACTATTTTCAACGCATTAAAATTTCATACAAAACTTCCTTTGGCTTTTGTAAATTACATGACAGAATTTTGTGTGTGGTTTCAGGTTGGTAATTTTGTTAAAAAAAATACTTATTTCAATATTTCTTAAAGATACAAAAAAATGCATCATCAACGAAATTTAAATGCTTTAAATTTTAAAACAAATAACATAGAAGATATGAAAACCTATTTTTTATTGTAAAATTATACTTAAAAGGGAAAATCATAAAAAAAAGAAAAAAAAGTAATACAAAAATAGATATAATTCATCAAATTACTCATAAGAGATGAATTATTCAGTATTAACCAGCGTTTTAAAAAACGTCGAGTCCAACCGGACTCGCCCGGTTCGACTCGGAATTCGCGAAAAAGGACCAAATCGGTTGAAAAATCGGAAATCGTTCAGTTCTAGATAGAACCGGACGATTCCGTACAGTGACTCGCCGATTCACTGTACGGAATCGGTGAGTCCGAACAGTGAATCGGCGAGTCCGTACGG